CCGTGGTACCTCTATTATAACAACGAGCCCTAGGGACAGCCAGTGCAGGCAGGCAGTGCCAAAGCGTCCCAGGGTATCCTCACGAGAGAGAGAGAGGGGGGGGGGCCATTCGGCAAACGCGACAAATGACGGCACGAGTAAAGATGAGCCGTCGTGCTCCAGTGACCTGAAAATGGAGATCGTCGCCTTCCAAGATGTTCGTGATGAACGGTTCGAAGTTGGGGATATTCGGCCAAAACTCCTTCTCTGGCCTGTGGACGAACACAGATGGTGGAGATGGATGTGGAGGGAGAGACGGATCCCGATTCGTGTCGAGCAGTAAAACATCTGCGTTGGGAGAGTATGTGCGGAAAAAACGCCGGGCACACAAACACGTGCCCGCGTGTATGCACAAATTATTACTTATTATTATTTCTTAACGCACTATGTTTATTTGTTTACTGGATAATTTCATATTCAGCCCATGGGTTCTGTAGTTGTACTGTAGTGTTGTGATATGCACATTTATCTTTTAGTTTTTGTTATTTATACAATGTATATGTACGGTATCATATTTTTTTCCTACGTTTTATTCTAAATATATGTTCGATTTTCACCATTTATTACACTTATTTGATATAAATTAACTGCATTAATAATGTATTTAACGTAATTAACTCATTTACTGTCCTTAATTATCGACGTGAAATAACTTAAAAGAATAAAAAAATATCACGTTTGTTGCACATATAAAAAACAACTTCTAAATCTATGTTGGATTATCAAAGATATACAATTATTCGTTTGATAATCGAGGACACATTAAATCAACAGGTATTAAACATGTTCAATTATAAAGCGTGCCATTACTGTATGCTGCATTTAAAGATGTTGTCGATAAGCAAACCGAAAAAATATTTGTTGTATTTAAATAGATTATCGATTATAAATCAAAAACTGTAGTCGATTAAAAATACAGTACAGGGTGGTCCCAAAGTCAGGACACATCGGGTTATATTTAGTTTAACAAATCACATCGGGTATTTAATTTATGTTCAAGAATGTTCAAGCTGACTTACATTAACATGAATTCATGCATCAATTATCTTTTTAAACAAATTTAGGACGTTTAAAAATATAAGACTACACGTGTAATCTTTGAACATTTGATATATTTTGTTTCAATTCATTAAACTTAATATAACCTGAAACAAATAAGAAAATACATATTACACTTAATGTCATCTGAACAAACACTAAGAAACATAGGTATTAGTAATATATGCACACTATTAACTTAATGCACATTTAAAACGTCTTAATGCTGTTAAAGTGAATAAAATAAACCTGTGTATCCTCACTCATGGGCCACCTTGTAGGTTTATTTGGCTGCAATAAATATTCCACATATTAAGAAGAAGGGCAGAAGTGGAGGTGGGGCGATGTGGTGCGATCGGACACGGTGGCCCGAGGAGCGGAAAGAGAGATTGCAGAGGACAGGGCAGCGTGGAGAAAGTAGGACAGCGGAACACGCCACTTGAGTCAGATACTTCTAGATTTGAAGCTTTCGTGACTGCAAGGATTCATATTCTTAGGTTTTTTCGGTAAAGTCACGTAGATAAAATATTTAAATTAATAAAAATAAAAAATAAAAATCACGACGTTTCGGAGGCAACACAAGCTTCCGTCTTCAGGTGTCTTCAGGTGAAGAAGACGGAAGCTTGTGTTGCCTCCGAAACGTCGTGATTTTTATTTTTTATTTTTACTAATTTTAATGTTTTATCTACGTGACTTTACCGAAAAAAACCTAAGAATATGAGTCAGATACTCCTTGGTTCTTTCGGTAAAGTCACGTATAAAGATAAACTAATAAATTAAATAATAGCATACGACGTTTCGATTGCAACACAAGCAATCATCATCAGGTATAAATGAAATAGCAACAAAAATCTAACAAAAAAACTATAGACAGACATATCAGACAGATATCACCAAGATACATAGAGAGAGAGCAACACATAGGCACACAGAGAGAGAAAGTTAAATAGAGAGAGGGGGCGGGGGCGGAGAGAGGGAGGGGGTTAGAGAAAAAATTAGCATGTCAATGGGTAGGACGACGGGTGGTAAAGCAAGCTTGAAAATTAGGAGAACGAGAGAGAGACACATTAAATAAAAAAACCGAGCAATTCCTGCAGTCACGAAAGCTCCAAAATTAAGAATGAGTCAGATTAACGCGTGGAAGAAGAATACATATTCCACATGATAAACCGTTGCATTGAGCTATGATTTGTGGCGAGGTCGCTCCAGAATCAAGAGCATTACAGCTCATCGGATTCCTCCGGTATGAAAGAGATGTGATTAAGATGTATGCGATGCGGGCACGTGTTGAGTCGAACGTTGGTCGTTCATTGGACGGTGCCTGGGTCACGTGGTTAGGGCCACCACGACTGCGCGGGTTGTTACGTCGCATGTGACGTCACAGACGACGTCACCGCCCTCCGGCAGTTGGCGTTTCAAGAATTCGAGAGCAGTCGCATTTGCAACGGCGCTCCGCTAACATCTACCGATACTAAAACTTAATTTGTCAAAATCTCGATTCGAATATTAATTCGCAAACATCGTTGCCGATTTAACAAGGAGACGAACCTCTGATATTTAACGATCGTTCTTGTTGAAATACATTTTTTTTTCTCTCGGGTTTCTCGTTTTTCCAACTTCCCCATGGGGTGGCGCCGTCGTCTCGCCAGATGGAGCCGCCGCTCCTGGTTGGGTCGACAATTCGCGAAGGTGGGTGACCTCCGACCCCTTACTCCTCTCGGTGCATGTAAACACAAGCGCGTTGGTCGATAAAGTGGTACACAATTTTTTTTAGACCGCGTAGAGGCGATGGTCCAATCCCCCGTGATGACCCCGACCTCTGTAACCTGGATTTGAACTTACTCGGGGTTCACTTTTAGGGGGCCGTGCATAAATGACGTCACGCATCTGGGGGGGGGGGGGGTTAGACATTTGTGACGATGTGTGACGAGTAGGGGGGGGGGGTTGCGAAATGTGACGTCACATCAAAATGTGCAACTTTAAATAAATAGACAACACGTTCTACTTGATTAAATAGACGTTTTAATAAATGTTTTCTCCTACAACATCAGAGTGCAGCGGCACATTAAATACGCACTACAATGACAATAGTTTAAAGCGATTTGAAGCATGTTTTAAATTTTTGGGGGGGGGGGGGGGCAGAGCCTTGTGACGTCATATTTGAGGGTGGGTCTGACGCCGTGTGACGATGGGGAAGGGGGGGGTCAAAAATCGTCCAAAATCGCGTGACGTCATTTATGGACGGCATCCTTATGTTTCCACAGCAGTGCATTGTAATCCCAGTCTATGGGTAGGATAAATTTGTGGTTGGAAGGACGTATTGATTTGTATCTGGCCTTTTTTGTTTCACAAGTAACTTTTATCCATGTTAAGGCCATTAGTTCAGTAAAAAAACAGTTAATTTTGAAGACGGGTACAGTTGACTTGTTGTAGATGACTGGGTGGGTTTATGAACGTAAATATTCTGCTTCTGATACAGTAATGTGCTGTGGGCACGGGGTGAGTAGAGTGTTGGTCGTTGAGAAGATGCTTGGGTCACGTGGTTGGGACCGTCAGACCGACGAGGTTTGTGACGTCACTAGTGACGCGTGTTTAAGAACAAGCATTTAGAAACACGCTTTTTAGAGTATTTGGGGGCCGTCCATAAATGACGTCACGCACCTGGGGGGGGGGGGGGTCAGACATTTGTGACGATGTGTGACGATGGGGGGGGGGGGGGGGAGAGAAATGCGACATCACATCAAAATGCGCAACTTTAAATAAATATAAACAACACGTTCTACTTAATTAAATATACTTTTTAATAAATGTTTTCTCCTATATCAGAGTGCAGCGCCACATTAAATACGCACTACAATGAGAATAGTTTAAAGCGATTTGAAGCATGTTTTATTTGGGGGGGGGGGGGCAGAGCTTTGTGACGTTATATTTGAGAGGGGGGTCTGACTTTTTGTGACGCCGTCTGACCAGGGGGGGTGGGGGGGTATGTTGAACTTCTTTTGTACCGTACTTAGCCAACCGTGCTAGCCGGTCCTTTCCTCCATCCAACAACCCTCAGTGAACAGTGTGGTAGTATTGTATCGTCATGCAATCCCCATTATTACTGACATGGCGTGGAGGAAGCCTTCATCCAGCCGTGGATGACAATGGGGCTGTGCGTAAATAAATTGATGACTTTTGTTTGCAGGCAAAAGGCGAACATGGAGTGGAGGAAGTGGGGACGGGGATCGCGAAGCCCTGTGGCAGCGGGGCCAGAAAGACAGTGAAACCTCTGGAGTGAGTTCTCAATAAACCTGGTGGAAACATTCACTTTCATCCCCTAACGAAGTAGAGATTTCAGCTCACAGCCATATATCATTATTTGAATGCGTACAAATACTAAATGCAAAAAAACCTATTTCGATAAATTGCTGCCATTTTGTTTGAATCTTTATACCTTGCCATCATCATCATCTGTCACGTTCTATCCACTGCCGGATGAAGGTCTACTACTGCCATCGATATTGCCTTTTGGTTCTTCGATCCCACAATCCATCTCAATCTGAATTGATCGTATTGCTCCACCTCCTCCATGGCCGTACTCTCGAACGTGTTATTTTATTTTCCCGCTGGCTTCATTTTCACATCATCAGTCTCATCCACTTGCCATCATCACTTCCACTTATGTGTCTGGGCCAAGCACACTTTTGCACACTTTTCTCAGCAATGAACAGGATGGTTCTGATTTTTGTTTATAATGACAATTTTCACAACCACTAAATTTTTTTCTACATTGTTATAGCACGTGGTAATATCCTTTGATTGCAGTATTGTATTACGTTAAACCTATTTCGCACCGTACGTAGCCAACCATGCTAATTGGAGTATTAATGATAGCCGTGTGCGTTCTGTTACTGTGTTCCCTTCCCAGCAATTTGATCACTATGGAATCTTTCCTCCGGCTGGCTGACTGTCCTGACTTCCACCAACACAATGGATATCTTCAAAGGATCCAGGTAAGCTTCTCCCACTGGCCAGGATGGCATCGCGTTCAACTCAAGCTCAGTCCTCAGTCACATTTGTGGCCAGGTCGCTTCTCAAAAAGAGCTACATAGCTCAGTGGGCCTGACCTGGTAAAATAACGTTTTGTATAGTGTGTGTTCACATGTACAACTGCTCATCATTTTTGACATGCGTTTTTCTGGATTTTGTTGTTATTCTGTCTCTCACTGTTCAAATAAACCTACCATTAAAATTATAGACTGATCATTTTTTAGTCAGTGGGAAAACGTACAAAATCAGCAGGGGATCAAATACTTTTTTCCCTCACTGTAGATGCATGGGCCTGTGTTTGTATGTGTATCTGCATTTCACCCATCACTATCTCCCGCCTCCTCCACAGGATTGGTGTTTCTCCAGGAGCTCCGCTGAGGTTATAAACAGCGCACCTCTGCTGTCTACTCTGGGATCCACTAATCCCACCAAAGCAGGTGAATGGCCGCCCTTGTGCTCACAGCCCTCCGTCCGTCCCTTTTCCTTCGTGAAACTTACGTCACACAACTTACGTCACAATTTCTGAAATAAAACAAAACGGATGTCACTCGATAACATTTTCAAACTATCTTTTTCCACTCGCTTTGCTCTCAGTAATACTCACTGCAAGTAGTAAAACTGACATCTAAAATTATGCAATCTGGAATTTTGGCCAAATTAAGTATAGAACAAAATATTACGTACTGTTGTTTTTTAAGCGGCCATCTTAAGTCCCCACTCGCTACACCTGATAACCCGGTTTAATCACAGGTGTCGACTCAAGGTTCAAACCCAGCATCTCAGTGGTACCAGCGCAGCGCCCTGAACTCCGAGTCAACCGGACACCTCGCTCTTGCCTGGCTTCATTCCCACGTGATAAGCCACGTGGTTGAGCTGTCATTTGTGGCCAGATTGCTTCTGAAAAAAGATGTATTTGTCTTTTTGCTTGTTTGTTCACAGATGGCACTGCCGCTGCCACCACCACGCCTAGAGCACTGCCACCAACTCCAGTGCCACCACGGACACCATCACCCCCGCTACCACCATCACCATCACCCCTGCGAGCACCGCCACCATCACCATCACCGCCACCATCACCATCACTCCCGCTACCACCGCCACCATCACCATCACCCCCGCTACCACCGCCACCATCACTCCTGCGAGCACTGCCACCATCACCATCACCGCCACCATCACCATCACCCCCGCTACCACCGCCACCATCACTCCTGCGAGCACCGCCACCATCACCGCCACCATCACCATCACTCCCGCTACCACCGCCACCATCACCATCACCCCCGCTACCACCGCCACCATCATTCCTGCGAGCACTGCCACCATCACCATCACCCCCACCGCCACCATCACCATCACCCCCACCGCCAACATCACCATCACCCCCGCTACCACCGCCACCATCACCCCTGCGAGCACCGCCACCATCACCATCACCCCCACCGCCACCATCACCATCACCCCCGCTACCACCATCACCATCACCCCTGCGAGCACCACCACCATCACCATCACCCCCACCACCACCATCACCCCCACCGCCACCATCACCATCACCCCTGCGAGCACCGCCACCATCACCATCATCCCCACCGCCACCATCACCATCACCCCCACCGTCACCATCACCCCCACCGCCACCATCACCATCACCCCCGCTATCACTATCACCATCACCCCTACCAGCATTTCCACCCCCGCCACGCTGGTCTTCACTGCCACCGTTACCACTGCCACCAATATGGCCACAACCACTGACACCCCCGGGAGGACCGCTACCACCATCATATTTGAGGGTGGGTCTGACTTTTTGTGACGCCGTGTGACGATGGGTGGGGGGGGGGGGAAATAGTCCAAAGTCACGTGACTTTAGACGATAAGTGACTTCGTTGAGCTATCTTTTTAGTTTTACAAGTAACTTGTATTCGTGTAAACGCCAATATGTCCAGTTAAAAATGAAGTTACTTTTGTAGACATGAACAGTTGACTTATTGTAGATGCCTGTGTGGGTTTAGAGTATTTGGCTGCTATACATTTCCACATGATAAGCCACTTGGTTGAGCTATCATTTGTGGCCAGGTCGCTGCTGAACAAGAGCTACATAGCTCAGTGGGCCATACCTGGTAAAATAAAAGAAAAAAATGTTTTTCATTTTTGGGTGATGAAGGGGACGTGTTTTAGCAATGAACCGTTGCAATGTTTTAACGTGAACTACGTAGCTGTGAAGTTTTATTTTGGATACGTTTGATTCATTTACAGTACGTTTGTTCGTAGCTGTCAGCGTTAAATATGTATTGGGGGGAGCAATGGTGCAGCGGTTTCCTCACCGTCCTATCAATTCGGCGACCCGAGTTCAATCACTTGTCACGGCTAACATCGGTGTCGAGTGATATGGATGTTGAACTTCTTTCGCACCGTACTTAGGCAACCGTGCTAGCCGGTCCTTTCCTCCATCCTTCAACCCTCACTGAACAGTGTGGTAGTATTGTATCGTCATGCAATCCCCTTTATTACTGACATGGCATGGAGGAGGCCTTCATCCAGCCGTGGATGACAATGGGGCTGTGCGTAAATAAATTGATGACTTTTGTTTGCAGGCAGTAGGCAAACATGGAGTGGAGGAAGTGGGGACGGGGATCGCGAAGCCCTGTGGCAGCGGGGCCAGAAAGACAGTGAAACCTCTGACGTGAGTTCTCAATAAACCTGGTGGAAACATTCACTTTCATCCCCTAACGAAGTACAGATTTCAGCTCACAGCCATATATCATTTTTTTAATGCGTACAAATACTAAATGCAAAAAAACCTATTTTGATAAATTTCTGCCATTTTGTTTGAATCTTTATACCTTGCCATCATCTGTCACGTTCTATCCACTGCCGGATGAAGGTCTACTCCTGCCATCGATATTGCCTTTTGGTTCTTCGATCCAACAATCCATCTCAATGTGAACTGATCATATTGCTCCACCTCCTCCATGGTCGTTCTCTCGAACGTGTTATTTCATTTTCCCGCTGGCTTCATTTTCACATCATCAGTCTCATCCACTTGCCATCATCACTTCCACTTATGTGTCTGGGCCAAGCACACTTTTGCACACTTTTCTCAGCAATGAACAGGATGGTTCTGATTTTTGTTTATAATGACAATTTTCACAACCACAAAAATTTTTTCTACATTGTTATAGCACGCGGTAATATCCTTTGATGGCAGTATTGTATTATGTTAAACCTATTTCGCACCGTACGTAGCCAACCATGCTAATTGGAGTATTAATGATAGCCTTGTGCGTTCTGTTACTGTGTTCCCTTCCCAACAATTTGATCACTATGGAATCTTTCCTCCGGCTGACTGTCCTGACTTCCACCAACACAGTGGATATCTTCAAAGGATCAAGGTAAGGTGCTCCCACTGGCCAGGATGGCATCGCGTCCAACTCAAGCTCAGTCCTCCTCACGTTTGTTGTCTCTTTAGTGCATCTGGCAGTCACATTTGTGACCAGGTCGCTTCTCAAAAAGAGCTACATAGCTCAGTGGGCCTGACCTGGTAACATAACGTTTTGTATAGTGTGTGTTCACATGTAGAACTGCACATCATTTTTGACATGCGTTTTTCTGGATTTTGTTGTTGTTATTCTGTCTCTCACTGTTCAAATAAACCTACCATTAAAATTATAGACTGATCATTTTTTAGTCAGTGAGAAAACGTACAAAATCAGCAGGGGATCAAATACTTTTTTCCCTCACTGTAGATGCATGGGCCTGTGTTTGTATGTGTATCTGAATTTCACCCATCACCATCTCCCGCCTCCTCCACAGGATTGGTGTTCCCCCAGGAGCTCCGCTGAGGTTATAGACAGCGCACCTTCTGCTGTCTACTCTGGGATCCACTAATCCCACCAAAGCAGGTGAATGGCCGCCCTTGTGCTCACAGCCCTCCGTCCGTCCCTTTTCCTTCGTGCAACTTACGTCACACAACTTACGTCACAATTTCTGAAATAAAACAAAACGGATGTCACTCGATAACATTTTCAAACTATCTTTTTCCACTCGCTTTGCTCTCAGTAATACTCACTGCAAGTAGTAAAACTGACATCTAAAATTATGCAATCTGGAATTTTGGCCAAATTAAGTATAGAACAAAATATTACGTAATGTTGTTTTTTAAGCGGCCATCTTAAGTCCCCACTCGCTACACCTGATAACCCGGTTTAATCACAGGTGTCGACTCAAGGTTCAAACCCAGCATCTCAGTGGTACCAGCGCAGCGCCCTGAGCTCCGAGTCAACCGGACACCTCGCTCTTGCCTGGCTTCATTCCCACGTGATAAGCCACGTGGTTGAGCTGTCATTTGTGGCCAGATTGCTTCTGAAAAAAGATGTATTTGTCTTTTTGCTTGTTTGTTCACAGATGGCACTGCCGCTGCCACCACCACGCCTAGAGCACTGCCACCAACTCCAGTGCCACCACGGACACCATCACCCCCGCTACCACCATCACCATCACCCCTGCGAGCACCGCCACCATCACCATCACCGCCACCATCACCATCACTCCCGCTACCACCGCCACCATCACCATCACCCCCGCTACCACCGCCACCATCACTCCTGCGAGCACTGCCACCATCACCATCACCGCCACCATCACCATCACCCCCGCTACCACCGCCACCATCACTCCTGCGAGCACCGCCACCATCACCGCCACCATCACCATCACTCCCGCTACCACCGCCACCATCACCATCACCCCCGCTACCACCGCCACCATCATTCCTGCGAGCACTGCCACCATCACCATCACCCCCACCGCCACCATCACCATCACCCCCACCGTCAACATCACCATCACCCCCGCTACCACCGCCACCATCACCCCTGCGAGCACCGCCACCATCACCATCACCCCCACCGCCACCATCACCATCACCCCCGCTACCACCATCACCATCACCCCTGCCAGCACCACCACCATCACCATCACCCCCACCACCACCATCACCCCCACCGCCACCATCACCATCACCCCTGCGAGCACCGCCACCATCACCATCATCCCCACCGCCACCATCACCATCACCCCCACCGTCACCATCACCCCCACCGCCACCATCACCATCACCCCCGCTATCACCATCACCATCACCTCTGCCAGCATTTCCACCCCCGCCACGCTGGTCTTCACTGCCACCGTTACCACTGCCACCAATATGGCCACAACCACTGACACCCCCGGGAGGACCGCTTCCACCATCATATTTGAGGGTGGGTCTGACTTTTTTGTGACGCCGTGTGACGATGGGTGGGGGGGGGGAAATAGTCCAAAGTCACGTGACTTTGGACGATAAGTGACTTCGTTGACCTATCTTTTTAGTTTTACAAATAACTTGTATTCGTGTAAACGCCAATATGTCCAGTTAAAAATGAAGTTACTTTTGTAGACATGAACAGTTGACTTATTGTAGATGCCTGTGTGGGTTTAGAGTATTTGGCTGCTATACATTTCCACATGATAAGCCACTTGGTTGAGCTATCATTTGTGGCCAGGTCGCTGCTGAACAAGAGCTACATAGCTCAGTGGGCCTTACCTGGTAAAATAAAAGAAATTTTTTTTTTCATTTTTGGGTGGTGAAGGGGACGTGTTTTAGCAATGAACCGTTGCAATGTATTAACGTGAACTACGTAGCTGTGAAGTTTTATTTTGGATACGTTTGATTCATTTACAGTACGTTTGTTCGTAGTTGTCAGCGTTAAATATGTATTGGGGGGAGCAATGGTGCAGCGGTTTCCTCACCGTGCTATCAATTCGGCGACCCGAGTTCAATCACTTGTCACGGCTAACATCGGTGTCGAGTGATATGGATGTTGAACTTCTTTCGCACCGTACTTAGGCAACCGTGCTAGCCGGTCCTTTCCTCCATCCTTCAACCCTCACTGAACAGTGTGGTAGTATTGTATCGTCATGCAATCCCCTTTATTACTGACATGGCATGGAGGAGGCCTTCATCCAGCCGTGGATGACAATGGGGCTGTGCGTAAATAAATTGATGACTTTTGTTTGCAGGCAGTAGGCAAACATGGAGTGGAGGAAGTGGGGACGGGGATCGCGAAGCCCTGTGGCAGCGGGGCCAGAAAGACAGTGAAACCTCTGACGTGAGTTCTCAATAAACCTGGTGGAAACATTCACTTTCATCCCCTAACGAAGTACAGATTTCAGCTCACAGCCATATATCATTTTTTTAATGCGTACAAATACTAAATGCAAAAAAACCTATTTTGATAAATTGCTGCCATTTTGTTTGAATCTTTATACCTTGCCATCATCTGTCACGTTCTATCCACTGCCGGATGAAGGTCTACTCCTGCCATCGATATTTCCTTTTGGTTCTTCGATCCAACAATCCATCTCAATGTGAACTGATCGTATTGCTCCACCTCCTCCATGGTCGTTCTCTCGAACGTGTTATTTCATTTTCCCGCTGGCTTCATTTTCACATCATCAGTCTCATCCACTTGCCATCATCACTTCCACTTATGTGTCTGGGCCAAGCACACTTTTGCACACTTTTCTCAGCAATGAACAGGATGGTTCTGATTTTTGTTTATAATGACAATTTTCACAACCACTAAATTTTTTTCTACATTGTTATAGCACGCGGTAATATCCTTTGATGGCAGTATTGTATTATGTTAAACCTATTTCGCACCGTACGTAGCCAACCATGCTAATTGGAGTATTAATGATAGCCTTGTGCGTTCTGTTACTGTGTTCCCTTCCCAACAATTTGATCACTATGGAATCTTTCCTCCGGCTGGCTGTCCTGACTTCCACCAACACAATGGATATCTTCAAAGGATCAAGGTAAGGTGCTCCCACTGGCCAGGATGGCATCGCGTCCAACTCAAGCTCAGTCCTCCTCACGTTTGTTGTCTTTTAGTGCACCTGGCAGTCACATTTGTGACCAGGTCGCTTCTCAAAAAGAGCTACATAGCTCAGTGGGCCTGACCTGGTAACATAACGTTTTGTATAGTGTGTGTTCACATGTAGAACTGCACATCATTTTTGACATGCGTTTTTCTGGATTTTGTTGTTGTTATTCTGTCTCTCACTGTTCAAATAAACCTACCATTAAAATTATAGACTGATCATTTTTTAGTCAGTGGGAAAACGTACAAAATCAGCAGGGGATCAAATACTTTTTTCCCTCACTGTAGATGCATGGGCCTGTGTTTGTATGTGTATCTGAATTTCACCCATCACCATCTCCCGCCTCCTCCACAGGATTGGTGTTCCCCCAGGAGCTCCGCTGAGGTTATAGACAGCGCACTTCTGCTGTCTACTCTGGGATCCACTAATCCCACCAAAGCAGGTGAATGGCCGCCCTTGTGCTCACAGCCCTCCGTCCGTCCCTTTTCCTTCGTGCAACTTACGTCACACAACTTACGTCACAATTTCTGAAATAAAACAAAACGGATGTCACTCGATAACATTTTCAAACTATCTTTTTCCACTCGCTTTGCTCTCAGTAATACTCACTGCAAGTAGTAAAACTGACATCTAAAATTATGCAATCTGGAATTTTGGCCAAATTAAGTATAGAACAAAATATTACGTACTGTTGTTTTTTAAGCGGCCATCTTAAGTCCCCACTCGCTACACCTGATAACCCGGTTTAATCACAGGTGTCGACTCAAGGTTCAAACCCAGCATCTCAGTGGTACCAGCGCAGCGCCCTGAACTCCGAGTCAACCAGACACCTCGCTCTTGCCTGGCTTCATTCCCACGTGATAAGCCACGTGGTTGAGCTGTCATTTGTGGCCAGATTGCTTCTGAAAAAAGATGTATTTGTCTTTTTGCTTGTTTGTTCACAGATGGCACTGCCGCTGCCACCACCACGCCTAGAGCACTGCCACCAACTCCAGTGCCACCACGGAGACCATCACCCCCGCTACCACTATCATATTTGTGGGTGGGTCTGACTTTTTGTGACGCCGTGTGACGATGGGTGGGGGGGGGGGGAAAATCGTCCAAAGTCGCGTGACTTTGGACGATAAGTGACTTCGTTGAGCTATCTTTTTAGTTTTACAAGTAACTTTTATTCGTGTAAACGCCAATTTGTCCAGTTAAAAATGAAGTTACTTTTGTAGACATGAACAGTTGACTTATTGTAGATGCCTGTGTGGGTTTAGAGTATTTGGCTGCTATACATTTCCACATGATAAGCCACTTGGTTGAGCTATCATTTGTGACCAGGTCGCTGCTGAACAAGAGCTACATAGCTCAGTGGGCCATACCTGGTAAAATAAAAGAAAAAAATGTTTTTCATTTTTGGGTGGTGAAGGGGACGTGTTTTAGCAATGAACCGTTGCAATGTATTAACGTGAACTACGTAGCTGTGAAGTTTTATTTTGGATACGTTTGATTCATTTACAGTACGTTTGTTCGTAGTTGTCAGCGTTAAATATGTATTGGGGGGAGCAATGGTGCAGCGGTTTCCTCACCGTGCTATCAATTCGGCGACCCGAGTTCAATCACTTGTCACGGCTAACATCGGTGTCGAGTGATATGGATGTTGAACTTCTTTCGCACCGTACTTAGGCAACCGTGCTAGCCGGTCCTTTCCTCCATCCTTCAACCCTCACTGAACAGTGTGGTAGTATTGTATCGTCATGCAATCCCCTTTATTACTGACATGGCATGGAGGAGGCCTTCATCCAGCCGTGGATGACAATGGGGCTGTGCGTAAATAAATTGATGACTTTTGTTTGCAGGCAGTAGGCAAACATGGAGTGGAGGAAGTGGGGACGGGGATCGCGAAGCCCTGTGGCAGCGGGGCCAGAAAGAC